TATCACAAGTAGGTTCCTTTAACAAATTTCATTATCTCCCAGTGTAGGATGCTAGAGTACCAGCTATGGAAGAAGGCTTCCTCTCTTTGTTGACTCTTGAGAAAGATCCTTGTTTTCTTTCAGCATCTGTTGGCCTAACATTCCTTGGAGATCGCCATGCTTCTTGGCATCAATCTTCCTCTGGATCTAGGAACTTCACAGTGTATGGGCCCCAGGCTTTCTTTCTTGGTGGTAGTAGGTCCCTCCATTGTTCACTGCTTTCTCCCATTATCTCTTGCAAGATAAAAGGTGTTGCAGACCACATCCCTGAGAAACTTCTTCACATAAGATCATTCAGAGTTGTGAAGGGGTTATGGTATTGCAGCCCAACATCAGTCCTCTTACTGGTTTATGACATCAGATCACAGCATAGGTAATTATCACATAACACCACAGTACACAACATTGTACATTTGCCGAACTAATGAGAATCATGGCTCAGCTAAGTGGACACATATTTGGGAGGGACTGCTCTTGATCCTATGCTACTTGAACTGTTTCAATGACAACCAGTTCTTTTTGATATAGTGACTATGTATTCCTTCCATCTTATCTTGATGCCACCCTCATTGTTCTATATTTTTTATACTGAAAACAGCCAGTTAATCTGCTGATGAAATTAAGGAAACATTTTAATTTTAAAATGTCCTGCAGAAACTTGAGTTGTTTTGGAAAGATTTGTTTTAAAAGGATAACTGCTCTCTGCTTTTTTGTGTTTTAGTTCTACAGAGACCTCTATCGATAGATTCTATTAGCGACTTAGAAAACATGACTGATTAATTTAGGAAATTGAAAATGAACTAAAGCACATGAAAGTGAAATCTGAAGTTGTGAGGGTTTTTTCTTAAGTTTGAAATGTTTCCTTCTCTCAACACATATTTACAAAACCATCATCTATAAAAGAAAACCACCAAAAGCCAGTTTATGTCACAAAACTGTTTTCGTAGGCATACGTCATGTTTTTGTAAACACAAGTTATTGATCTCTAGTTAAAAGCTTAAAAAGAATTATAATTATTTAAGGTCAGTTTTTGTGATGTTTGTTTTCTTTTTACTTTTAAGAATACAGAAATGAATGTGTCATGACATACAAGGAAAGAATCCCCGTATCTTGAAAACGCATCTGGCATTTGACATGAATTGGTCATTTCTGTTGGAAAATCAGGGTAGCAAAGTGATTAAGAGCATAGATGCTGGGACTAAAGTGCCTGGGTTCTGACCCTTCCTAGCTGGATGACCTCGGGAAAGCTAATTAACCTCTCTGTGCATCTTAGTTGCTTATTTGAATAATGGGGGTAATAAAAATACCTAACTCAGAAAATTACTATGAATATTCATTTGTTTTTATATGTTTAACTCTTAGAGCAGTACTGGTCATAATAAAACAGTCATTTTTATTTTATTATAAATTATAGTATTGTATGCACTAATGAACATTTCTAACACATTGAGTTTTTACATAATATAGCTGTCTGAGATCAAATGAAAAAATGTAAGCAGCTAATAAAACATTTTTGTTAATAGTTTCCCTACTTTTAAAAAGAAGGAAAATATACTTACTATGAATATTAGACTTTATATACATATGGTGGTGGTTATGTGCCATGGAGTCGGTTCCGGCTCATAGTGACCCTGTACAGGGTTTCTGAGGCTGTAAATCTTCACGGGAGCAGAATGCGTCATCTTTCTCCTGCAGAACAGCTGGTAGTTTCGAACTGTTGACAATGAGGTTCACAGTCCGATTCGTAACCCCTACGTTACCAGAGCTCCTTTTATACATATAGTACCTACCAAGGTAATGGCATTCAGTGAATTGTTATTGTTACTGATTTAATATTATTTATAATAAGAAAATTTTAACATTTTTTTTAAATATATGAAAAATAAAATGTTTTGCATGTTAGAGTTCTAGGTGTTATAAAGTTACATACATTATTGTTTTAATTAAAACAATTTAAATGTTTAATCCTATTTTCCATAGTTATTTGGAAACACTTTTTCTTAAAATTAAACCCCATTTGTTAACACTGATAACATTTCGTCTATTTTAGTAGTAGTTTGAGGTGATATTGTTCTTTGTATTAAAAAAAACAGTTGCCGTCCAGTCAGTCCTGACTCCTGGTGGCTCCACGTGTGTCAGAGTAGAACTGTGTACCAGAGTTTACAATGACTGTTTTTTTGGAGCTAGATCTCAAGGTCTTTCAGGGTACCTCTGGGTAGACTCAATCAACCCTTTCATTTTCAGGAGAAAGCTTTTAATGATTGAAGAGCTTTCCTGACATTAAAGTAAATAAAATAGCTTGATAATGTAATAGCCTGAATAAACAGTTGTAGAAAAACATAAGCAATTATTTTGAGTGTCAACTCATTGAGAAAAATTAATGTTAAGATTATTTTGGGTAATAAATATAACTAATATTGTTACTCATAAAGACAGAATATGTATCCCCTTTAATCAGTGTAACTAAAGGTACAGAACTTGGAGACATTAAACATATAATTAAAATATCTATGTATTCCTAGTACCTAATATTTGTTATTCTATGGAATCCCAACTATGTTTCTGATACAGCAATTTGAAACCATTCCTGTAACATTCCAGCATAATGTCGCTTGTCACCTGTAAGTAGAGTTTAGATTATATATAAACCAATGGTAATGCATATGTATTTTGTCTGCTATTATTACTTTTGTTTATGTTTATTGTTAGCCTTTCTAAATGGACAAAATGCAGATTCCCGAGCATTCCATATATGCAGAATTGCTCCATGATTCTGTGGTACATGAATGTTACATTTTCAGTTGCGAGGTTCACACTCCCTTATCCAAAGTTCTTTAAAGTCAACTGTGGTTTTTAGGGTTTCTCAGATTTTACAAAAGTAATATAGTACATTAGTTGTTGTTGTTAGGTGCTGTCAGGTTGGTTCCTACTTACAGCGACCGATCCTAAGTTAAACGAAGTTCTGATGTGGCGCTGTAGAATAAGCACCAGATTGCTAACCGCGAGGTTAGCTGTTCAAACCCACCAACTGCTCTTTGGAAACCCTATACAGAGTCACTATGAGTTGGAACTGATTCACTGGCACTTAACAAAATGTACAACAAAACACTGCCCTCTACTATCCTCACAATTGTTGCTGTGTTTCAGCCCATTGTTGCAGACACTGTGTCAGTCAATCTCATTGAGGGGCTTCCTGTTTTTCTCTGACCCTCTAATTTATGAAACATGGTGTCCTTCTCCAGGGACTGATCCCTCCCAATAAACATGTCCAAAGTATGAGAGACGAAGTCTCGCCACTCTCACTTTTGAGGAGCATGTTGGCTGTACTTCTTCCAAGGACAGATTTGTTTGTTATTGTAGCAGTCAGTATTCAGTATATTCTTCACTGATATAATAATCCAAGTGTATCAATTTTTCTTTGGTCTTTCTTACTAATTGCCTAGCTTCTGCATGAATATGAGGCATTTGAAAATGCAATGGATTGGCTCAGTTGCATCGTGGTCTTTAAAGTGATAAAATAATATCTTTGTTTCTTACTCTAAAAGTGCTTCTCAGTTACTAAGGAACTCTTTTCACCTAGGTCATGTGGGGTTTCTTTTTTATGTGTATTAAAAAACACTTTAAATCTATAACTGCTAAATTCCTATTGTACGAATACAGTAAAATAAAAAATTAAATAGATTAAAGAAATTCCTTTTAAGTTAAAAGGATTTTAGCCTTAAAATTCAAGAATTTTTTTAAGCTAATCTATATTGACTAATAAATAGAAAACACATTTATAATTTGGCTTCAGGCAACTTCAACAGGAAATGAATTGTCAAACGCAAATGTCAACAGCTTGTGTCATTTAATACAGTTTTCACAAAATACTAGCAAATATATTATGAGTATGCTAGCAAATCTTGCATCAGAATGACTTCAGATGCATCTGGCCTGGTTTTCCTTTTCCTTGTTCCTGGGAAACTGTTGTCAAGGGGAAGCTACTCGTGTAATTGGTTAACTCCCCATCTCGGACACTGGTTTGACTTCATGGTAGCACGTGTTGGCCACATGGCAAAGAAGAGCTAGATTGTTTTAAAGGAGAGCAGCAGAGATTTTTTTGGTTTTGTTTTTGTTTTTAAAACCACTAACTGGTAGGCAGATGCTGTTTTTGAGTCTTATTAAATTGATTTTGTATAACAGGTTTTGAAAAGCTAACAAAATGAGACTGAGACAACCATAGTTCCAAGCGTCTTCTATGTGACCTGTGGAGCGTAAGATTTTTCTTTTAGAAAATAGGGTTTGGGGATCAGATGTTAAGGTCTGTTTTTCCAAAGCAGAAATCAGGATGCATCCTCTGACTAAGGCTATATGTTAGCATATTTCATTGTACATATGAACATCTTGTCAGGGCTTAATAACAAAATCTTATATGACTATTTAACAAATCACTTTAATGGAAAAAAATATAATCTCATTACTATTAAGAGATTTAACCTGGAAAATCCACATTATGGTCATCTATGGCTCTTCCTTTATAAAATTCTACATGTTACATATTTTTGTCTATTTCAAATATTACAGTTTTTAATGGGAATACCATAATGCAGAAATTCTATTTTGAATGGCTTCCCTATTTGGTATGTTTCTTTATACAATCTGTATCTAAAGTTTATGTCCTTTTTAATTTCTAAAATAATCTGGCATAGGGGAGACACACTTGGTTAAAACTTCCTCAACTCATTTAGAAGAGAGAATGAGTAGTCAATTTATCCTAGTGCCATTCTTATATGTTTGTGGTTATTTTATAATGATGATATTTAATTGATATTTACAGGATGATGAAAGAAAACAAGTAAGTACTTGGTTTTTGTTTTTACATGCTTTGGTTTTGCCTGGACACATGGCCGTTTGTTTAGAATTTTCTGTTATAATGATGTTTCTTTATATTGTCAATAATATTTATTTTTCACTCACTTTAGGGACATGATCAGAGTTCAACTCTTGCTCAACACTCTGTTGAATTGACTTTACCTAATCATCATCCATTTCACCGAGACTTGCTCCGATATGCCAAGCTGATGGAATGGTTAAAGAGTACAGATTATGGAAAATATGAGGGACTAACAAAGGTATGGACTTGATAGAAATTGCTTACTAAGTATAGAATAGAGCATGGTCTCTGATTCAGGTTATCATGTGTTCAGTTTACCAAGCGACAATTAGGGAGCGTTCTTCGTTAAGGCATAAAATAGTTTCATTTCTGAGTGTTCATTAACCAGACAGAGAGCAGTTTGGATAAAGAAGAGCTAAATTTTGATCTTCAGTATAAAACAGTTGTTAGTTAGATGCTATAATTATTTCCTGAGTTTCTTTATATGCATTGTACAAACTAAAACTAGGAAATGTGAAGCTTTGTGAATGAGGTATTTGCCCTTTAAGAATTTACAATCCATTCTGTTAAACAAGTCCTAACCCCTTTTTAAGCAAGCATTCCACTATTCAAGCCTCTGTCTCTAAGGTTAGAGTTTTATTTTAAGTCTCACTGGGAAGAACAGTCATATATAAAATAATCAGTAAAAAATTCATTGCTAAACTAGGAAAGAGTTTAAATATATAACAGTCTAGAGAAGGGAGAAATCATTGTTCTGAAGCCATGGAAGGAAACTTTATAAATGACATTGGACTTGAATAGGGTTTTAAATAGTGAATGGTATATAATAAGCCAGAAATATGAGTCAGAATGTTGCTGGGATGGGATAAAGGTGCGCAGATATGGGAAGGAAAAGTATGTTGTTTTCTTAGGACAATGTGGAGATACACCTGCCTCACCGAAGCAGGAATTTCATATTCCACAGCACTGAAAAATGATGTTGCAAAGATAAGCCAAGAGGCCTGACATCTTCCTTCCAGCAAGCGATAAAATTAATTAAGAACCTGGTGTGATAATTCAGATAAAATGAAGTCTTGAACAATGTACATGTAGTCGGAGTAGAGAGAGAATGTAAATTGAAACAGAGCCTCCAGAGGCAGAAGGAACAAGATGCCAAGAAAGCTATCGTTACTCACCTTCTTAGAGTGCACGTTCTAGGGACAAAACAGACAGAAAAGTTGATTCTATTGTGGAGTATTAGAAGGTGCTGAATCCTGCAGAGGAAATAAAGAAGCAATAGGGGAGTGCCAGGACTTGAGAAAGGTTGATGTTCAAGTACGAATGATCAGAGTTGTCAAGGTGACTTTAGAGCACAGATTTAAAAGATACAAGGAATAAGCAGACAAGCATTCCAGGCATGGCACGGCATCCTCAGGTGAGAGCATATGCTTGTGGAGCAGTGAGTAGGCCAGTGTGCTTGGCGCCCAGTGAGCCAGGGGCAGAGCTTTGGAAGGACAGATCGGCGAGTTTAAGGGGACAGGAAGGACGGGCAAATTGGGAAGGACTGTGGACCTTTGTAAGGATTTGGCTTTTATAGTGAGTGAGATGAAGAGGCCACTGTAAGGTTTTGAGCAGTGTAGTCGCGTGATCTGATGTAGATTTAATTAATGACCATTGTAGTTGTTATTGTCGTTCACCATTGTAGTGAACGTTTGTTATTGTCGTTCACCATTTTAGCACTAAGCATAGTACTTTACTGGCAGTTGTGCAGGAATTGGTCATGTCCCTGTTTTTATAAAATGGAGCTAAGAATTGCCACCTTTCTAATTCAAATATTTAAGTAGCTGGTTTGACTGTAAGATAAGTGCTAGACCACAGGGTTGGTCTAAATTTCAGGATGGTGGTTCAAACTCACCAGCCACTCCTCAGAAATCCTAGACAGTGTCATTCTGAGTTGGAGCCAACTCAGTGGCACCTAACAACAACAACACAATAGTATTCTGGATATTCCTGGCTGAAGAGCAATGTGGTAGGAAAATCAAAATCTTTTTATTTGTAAGTTGTTATGAATTTGGAGTTTAAGAATGAAAAATCGAAGTTCTGAATAAGTCATTTAAATAATTAGTAATGATTTCATTATGTAGGCAATATGACCCTCACAGATGTTCATGAATTTGAAGGACCAATATATTTTGTCTCTGAAGTGAAATTGTTGGAATTGTTATGGAAAAGCTCTTCCTCTACACCCATGTGCTTGTGACTAAAAATTTCCTAACTGTAATTTTGATAGTAAAATCTTTTCTTTCTTTCTAGTTTCTATAGTATCTGCCCAGTTTTATCGAGAGAGAGGCACTCTCTTTCAAAGTGCTTTTTAAATGAAGATTGTCCTCTCAAGGATTCCTTTTTATACACACAAGCCCATTTAATCTTTATTCTTAATGAAATAATTAGTACAACTCCTTTCAGTTATTATAAACTCTTCATTAGGTTCCTGTGTCAGATGAAGGTAGAAGGCTTAGGCAGGAATTTATGACAAGGGTAATGGTCAGAAAAGGACAGCTCTGCATTCCTAACAATGCATTGATGTCAATGTATTCAGCAATAGGACATTCGTACATACCCTAGACTTCCTGGATTTCCTCTCTGAAGTGCCTGCCCATTGAAAGTACAGCCTGACTCCTCCACTTCTACACTGAGTTCATGGGAAAGAGGACATAAACTCTGACAAAATAAGTATTGTTTAAAAAAATACTAAATTACAAATATGAATATAAAAATTATAACAAAAATGCTTTCAGAAAGGATGGTCATCTCCTGATATGTTTATATACATAGTATCTGGTTAGCTATTTCATAGATAAGATTCTTATATTCCTCAAAATTAGTCTTTTAAGTGTTACACAACTCTACTGTTGTATTATATTTTGTTTTGTTTTGTTTTCATTCAACAGAATTCTGATTTGGAGATATCTTAAGGAAAAATGTTTACAGTACTGGAATTCTGTGCCTTTTGAAGTTTAGGAAGATTAATCTTTTGAATAATTAAACATAAATTATATCTCCTTAAGAGTTTTGTGCAACAAGTGCTTTGTCCCCTAGTGAATATTCAAATAAGTAATCAATAAGCTTTTTGCCTAATTGTATTCTCAGTGAGTATTATTGCCCTACCTTTATACATAATGCAGTATTCATGAATGGAACTTCAAGCGAAGAAACAAGACCACAGCCAGCCTAGAGATCATTTATGGAGTCATTCTGTGTTCAAGAGTTTCTTTTGGATTGACAATATTAATGATCTTTTCTATGAAATTGACATTTCCCAGGAATGTTACTTGATCCTATGGTTTGAACTTTTGATAGACTGTGTCCTATTTTATGTCTCGTAATCTAATTTAGTTGTTAAGTTATTATCAAAGACAGGAATTTTATTTAAAAAAAAAAAACTAACAATGGTAATAATTAGGGCCTTCGGAAAAATATAGCTCAACTACCCAGATATACTTCTACCCAGAACTACGGTGGATACATACAAGGTATCCTTCCTCTCACACCTGTGGCTCTGGGCTATACATTTAGGGCGTTTAATAATAGAAATGGCCCATCTATAGTTGGGTAGGACATGAGCCTTCCTCTCCTAAGAACTTGCTGAGATTTAAATCAGAACTGTAAGGTTACTCAGATGACTCTCAACCTCAGTTCTACATTTGTAGAAACTGCCTTACTGTGTTTTTTTTTTTTTTTTTTAAAGTAAAACATGTTAAGAATCTACAGTCAACACAAAATAAAGTCGAAAAGACAGAATTCCCAGAATACTTAAACTCATGATAGTTCAATTGTAGTCATTAAGAGAGCCAGCACAATGATGAATTAGTGAGAGAAGGAACTTATCTTTTCACATCTATCTGTGGATTGCCCCTCCCATGAGTTCTGTAGAGTACCTGGACAAAAGGTGTTCAGTAACTTCACTTGTATTTCACTGAAAAAGGGAGCTAGCCCAATGAACTAGGGATTCATGTTGTTGTTGTTGTTGTTAAGTGCCATCGAGTCGGGTCCGACCCATAGCGACCCTGTACAGGGTTTCCAAGGGTGTAAATCTTTACGGGAGTATAAAGCCTCATCTTTCTCCCGCGGAGCAGCTGGTAGTTTCGAACTGCTGACCTTAAGGTTCGCAGCCCGATTCGTAACCACATGTTAGGGAATGTTTTCAGTGCTATTTGCTTCTAAAATTATGTAAGGATCACAGGGGGGAACTGCCCCTCTGACTAACATTTCATATATATGTGGAAATATATATGACTGACTGAGAAAGAGAGGATCTGTGTTGTGTTTGGTACAGATACAGTTTTATAAGGATAAATCTATAAAATATCTGAGAACTATAAGTCAGTACTCAAATATTATTACTATATGTACCTTTTGAAAAGGTACCTGATGTATAAAGAAAGGTAAGCTTGTTCTAAAAATGAATGTATTAATCCGAAATAATAAAGGAAATGGAAGCTTCAATTCCATGTTGAATTTAGAAGAATAGCCAGGTGCGAATTTTCTGTTGTGGATTTATTTAGGCTTAGTCAGGCTTTGTCTTTGGCATTTGACTTAGGACTTGAAAAACTAGTGGTCTCCCAGTACTGAGGAATCTTAACTGCTAGTATAAAATATTTCTGTGTTATGATAAGCAAATGGCAGATAAATGTGTTTGTATGATAAATAATGGATGTTTTCATTTAAACTAAAATGAGTCAGATTCGTTTCAAGAAAATGATTATTAAATTATGAAAACTGTTGTTGTTGTTAAGTGCCATCGAGTCGATTCTAACCCATAGTGACCCTGTTATAGGGTTTCCAAGGAGCAGCTGGTGAGCTTGAACTGCCGACCTTGAGGTTCAAAGCAACTTTGCAGTCCAGTGCATTAACCCATCTTAATGAAAATAACCTATTTTTGAGTAATACCCAATGTTGACAAGGGTTCAGTGAAACTATACTCCTTCATTACCGTTGACAGTGTATATAAAACAAAACAGCAACATAGAAAGACTCCCATATGCTTGGGCTCTGGAATTCCACTCACTGGAAATTTTCCAAGCAAGCAATTCATTAGAGACAAAAAGCTTAATTTAGCAGTGTCTGTCATAGCAAAATATTGAAACTGCTTTTGTGTCTTATATTAAAGGTTTAATTTACTAAATTGTGGCATATCAACATGCAAAATACTGTGCAATCATTCATGGAGACTTCAACTCAAATAGCCTAGACAGTGAAAATTACAGCCATATGTTAAAGATAATATGAAAAAATGGAAATAACAACTGGGATTATGGTTGATTGTATATTCCTGTAAGTTGTTGTTAATGTTAATGCCTGTTAAGTTTTTTTAAGACAGAAAATTATCTGTATCCTATGTAATGCATCCAAGTTTTAGATTGCAAATTTAAAACAAACTTGAAGAACTTGGGGGATTGAGAAATGGAAATGGTTATATTTGTTTTATTAATAAGTAAATGTTTTATTTTAAGAATTACATGGACTATTTATCACGACTGTATGAGAGAGAAATCAAAGATTTTTTTGAAGTTGCAAAGATCAAGATGACAGGTACAACTAAAGAAAGCAAGAAGTTTGGTAAGCTTATGCATTATCTTCTTTTCATTTTTTTTTTTTTCATTTTAAAACTGGATTTATTTATGACAAAAATTGTTTAAGGTGGAATAAGATATAGATGAATTCATGCAACTGTAGATTAACTACTTTGGTTTGATTTTTAGGTGTGTCATAGAACAAATATATATATATGCAAATGTGGTTTTCACCAATTAAAATACTGCTGTCTGGAACTCTGACAGTCATTCAGTTGTGTCTTCATACTATAATTAGACTATGTGTTTGCAGGACAATCAACCAATCAGATGGTAGAGAAAATACTAGACTAAGAGGCAGGCAGTGTCTGCCTCCCTGAAAGATCTTTTATAACAATTTGGGGACAAGTCACTGGGCACTTAAGTCATTGCTCTCTGCAGGGAAATGAAAGTGATTCCTGACTTCTTCTTACTTCTCACTGGCTATTTTGAATCAAAAAGAAAGCTGACATGTTTTCAACAAAGAGGCTCTAACAATGTCACCAAAATTTCTCCTCTGATTATATCTTATTTTTTCAGAGAAGTATTTTTTAGGCTCATTTTTTGTTGCTTCTAAATGTGTCAAGTGGACACAAGCATTGTTTGAAAGGATAGCCAGTGAAAGTACTAAGTTGTGAGGACAGTGATTTGTCGAGGCCACATTCTGCTCTTGCATGTAGCCATCCTTGGAGTTCCTTTTGGATGGAGTTCTGTGCTTTTTCAAGTCAAAACCTGGCCTTAAATGGCTATGATGTGTACTCAGTGTGTCTGCATACCCCCCCTTTAGAATAATGAGTTTTAGCATTTGCTTGTTGAAAGGAGCCTATGTCCTAAGCAGCTTCTATAATCAGGAAATGACATTAAAAATTGAAAGCACAAATGCCCATCACTGTCTTTAAGATAAAGAATCCTGTCTTTAGTACAGAATTATTTTGTAATTCGTAGTTTTTTAAAATTGTGTCACTAATATATTGATTAAACTTTTGGAATGGTCGCACATTGAATCTGGGATGCTGATTAAGAATCTTGGGGCAGTAGGCTGTTGGAAACAGAAATGCTAACTCATCCTAAAGGTTAATTGTTCTTAAACAGCAATGTGTTTATATCCTTGTTAATGTTCTGACTGTGGATATGCTATGTTTTTTTTTGTTTGTTTTTTTTTTTGAGTAAACAGTGTATTATTAATACAGTTACATGTTTAATGTTTTCATTAAGTATATTTGTCATCACTTGTTAGTGAACCATTTTATTTTGGGAAAACTCTTCTTCAATGTATGAAAAGTGGAAGTAAAAGGGAAATTTTTCTAAAATTGTCTCCTGAGCAGCTATGAATCCCTGTAACATAATAGTTTCCCAAGTCTTAAGATGCACATTGAGATAAATGACGTAATAAAATAAATTTAGCTCAGATATAATAATATCATAATGGAATCATTGCATTAACTTGTTAGGCCCATGTTTTGTTGTTGTTTCCTTACCCCTTAAGCATTTAAATTAGCTTGTTAAAATTTTTTTAATTAAGATAATCTAGGTTAGAAGGTATAATTTTATAATTTTTAAATTGTGACCATTTTATAATTTTTATATCTAACTGTTAAGTAATGAGATAAGGAATAGGAGACTAATCTGAGATGATAGATAGCATCAGAAAATTATAGCTTCAGTGATTTTGATATTGTCAGCTATAAGGAAGGGAAAACTACAAAACAGAATTCAGAGGATTGTTTAAAACTTCTCTCAGCTTTGAAGATCTGTTAGAATTTTAAAGTTAAAAAATAAATGCAAATGACTTGGAAAGTTCTGAATACGTTAGAAAGTACATTTTTTTAAAAGATTATCTTTTCAAAATGTAAGTTAATTTTTTAATAGTTGTTGTTAAGCACCGACCTTGTGGTTCAGATTTCAATGCTGATCCTGCAGCCCTACACCAGGAGTCCATTTTTTATAGTAACTATAGTTAAAATACAAATCTGAAATTTTGGCAAGATAATTTTTCAATGAATCAAAAGTTAGTGATTATAAATAAAATGTGTTTTGGTTTTTACCTGCTCTGGGAATTCTGGGTCATGATGCTGATGGACCACTCAACACTGAAATTTTTAACATCTACTAAAAAGAGCTCTGGTAGCGTAGTGGTTACGAGTCGGGCTGCGAACCGCAAGGTCAGCAGTTCGAAACTACCAGCTGTTCCGCGGGAGAAAGATGAGGCTTTCTGCTCCCGTAAAGATTTACAGCCTCGGAAGCCCTGTACAGGGTCACTATGAGTCGGAACTGACTCCACAGCACATAACAACAAAGGTTCCTGGAAAGAGTCTTTTCTTTTGGACAAGGTCATTATGAGCCTTGGTGTGGCGTTATAGGATAGTCAGTGGACTGGGAGCTAGATCTACCAGCCGCTCTCAGAAACCCTATACAGGGTTGTTATGAGTCACAACTGACTCAATGGCAAACAAAAAGATGGAAAGCCTCCTTCTGACAAGGTCATTATTATTATTTATTTTATTAATAGGTTTTCTTTGCTATTCTAAGGTTTTTTTCAATAGCAAAATAAAACATCTATGATTTGATGCATTTGAATTATGGTGGTGTTGGAAAATATTGAATATGCCATGGACTGCCAGAACAACAAACATATCTGTCCTGGAAGAAGTACAGCCAAAATGTCCTTTAGAAAAAGCAAGTATGGCTAGACTTTGTCTCATGTACTTTGAACATATTATCTGGAGGGATCAGAAGGACATCGAGCTTGGCAAAGTAAGAGGTCAACGAAGAAGAGGAAACCCCTCAGAGATGAACTGACACAGTGGCTACAGTAACGGGTTCAAGCCTGACACAGGGTCGGCCAGTGTTTCATTGTGTTCCACCATCTCAGTGGTACCTAAGGAGCCTTGGTGGCTTAGTGGTTGAGTACTTCTGCTAACTGAAAACCTGGCTGTTTGAGCCCACAGTCATAGCCTGGTTGAAAGATGTGATAGCATGTTTCCATGAAGATTCCATCCGTAGAACCCCTGTGGGGCAGTTCTGCTCTGGCCTGTAGGATCTCTGAGTTGGAACTGGTTTGACAGCAGTGGATTTCATTTTTGGTTATTTTGGTTTTTATTAGTACCATATTCCTTATTGGCTACTAAATAAAGAAAACTATATTAAATTTTACCCTTTGTTCTAGAACTGGGGACCCTAGTATTGTTATTAGGTGTTACTGCATTGGTTCTAACTCATAGCAACCCCATATACAACAGAACAAAACCCTGCTTGGTCCTGCACCATCCTCACAATTATTGCTGCAGCCACTCTGTCAGTGCATTTCATTAAGGGTCTTCATCTTTTTCACTGACCCTCTTACCAAGCATGATGCCCTTCTTCAGGGACTGGTTCCCCCTGGTAACATGTCCAGGGTACATAAGATAAAGTCTTAGCATCCTCGCTTCTAAAGAGCATTCTGGCTGTACTTCTTTCCAGAGAGATTTGTTTGCTCTTCTTACTATCTGTGGTGTATTCCGTATTCTTCTCTAACACCATAATTCAAAGGCATCAATTCTACTTCACTCTTTCGTATTGATTGTGTAGTTTTTGCATGCATATAAGGTGACTGGAAATATCTTGACTTGGGTCAGTTGCACCGTAGTCCTCAAGGTAACATCTTTGCTTTTTAGCACTTTAAAGAGGTCTTTTGCAGCAGACTTGCCCAGTGCAATACTTCGTTTGATTTTGATTTTTTTTTCTTTTTTTTTTTTTTAAATACTCCTACAAAGGGCATTGATTGTGGATCCAAGTAAAATGAAATCATTGAATCCTTGACTTCAGTATTTTCTCCTTTTATCATGATGTTTATTGCTCCAGTTGTAAGGATTTTTATTTTCTTTATGTTAAGGTATAATCCATACTGAAAGTCTTTGATCTTCATCAGTAAGTGCTTTAAATCTCCATCACTTTCAGCAAGCAAGGTTGTACTGCCTGCATATTACAGTTGTTAGTAAGTCTTCCTCCAGTCCTGATGCTGCTTGGTGAATACGGCATGGTGACAGTTGATGGCCAACTGGAAGAACTGTTCAGATGGCTAGCTGGTGGCTCCACCATGATCTTTATCACTGTGATGTTCAGCTTTGTTGTTTGTATTTCTTTGAGCTTCAGGTGGCCCAGGATGGGAGGATATATATACATGTCTCATGTGGCTAGTTAGTAACTTAAGCTGTAACTTGTGCCTTTAAGAGAGTTTTGTATTGTAGGGTTAGTGTGTAAAACATAGTTCTATTTTTAGAAAATATTTTTTAGATGATAGTTATAATCTTTAATTTTCTGCTTCATTCATTCTCTGATTTTCTTCTTATATTAATTTGTAAATTGAGTGCAGAATGGTTCGCAATATGATCTCTAACATTTATCCGATATAGAGAGAGAAGTTTTAGAATAAAAGAAATGTCAAATGCCTTAAAAGAGCTCCAAGTCTTTTCTTATACCTGTGCCCTTAGTTCTACCATCCCACTTGCCCATATCCTGGTAATTGGTGTAATGATTATGTCATCATTTTAGGTTCAAAGCTAGTTACTAAGTAATCCAATTTGACACTTAATTTTTAAATGATTTTAAAACCCTATTCATATAATTTTAATTTTAAATCAGATATAATATAAAATTGCATAGTACAGTAGAGATTCATTTCAGGAGCGTTCAGGAAATGTGCAACCATTGATGTATTTAATGTCTAAATCTACAACTTCATTCTTATGAATTGTCACTATATTAAATTATTTTCTTGAACAAAATTAAAAACTTCCAATATAGTCTTTAAAATTTAGGTGTACTCCCTTAGTAAACTTAAAAAAAAAAAAAAATCATTTAAGTGTATGGGGGTCAGGGTTACAAATTGAGACATTTTACCTGAATATTGAAGTAAAAGCAATACATTAAAAGACTAGTAAAGTGTTTTCTCAGAATTTTTCAAACAGTAGTTGGCCAACTAAGCGTGTTTGCACCTCTCATTACTCGATTCTCATGGTTCTTTGCATGTGTCTTTTATACTAGAGCTTAACTTCCTCTTGTGCATGGTTTGTGCAAAATGCAGTTTATTAACTTGTCTTTGTCTTTGATGCTTGCAACCTAATCCATCACAGCTACACTGCCCCGAAAAGAAAGTGCTGTCAAACAAGAAACAGAGAGTGAGTATGCCTAGTGTATCAGTAGGTATTCTCAATGCATGTCTGTTTGTTTAATGTGTAGAAACTAGTTCTTTGTCTTTCAAAAAGTTGACACCAAAATTTCTTATTGCTTTGAGTTTTCAGGTATTGGTGAAAGAAAGCCAACATGTGGGTAGTGGTATGGCTATAGACAAGAAAATGTACTAGTGAAAAATGGTATGTCAGAAAGTAGAACATGCTAGAAATGTATGAAAAGGCTTAACCATTATACTTCTAATTTCAGGCTGTGTATAAAAACTCTTTAAAAATTCTTACAGATATGGTCAGATTTTCATATATTAAAGCTAGAATTTACCTTTAATTTTTCTACTATGTTTTAATAAACTAGGGATCTTCAGAAAGTTTGTGGGGAAATGGAATTAAAAGGTAATGGAAAAAAACAAAACAGAAAGGTAATGGAATTTTCCCACAAACTTTTTGAAGCCCCCTCGAATGTTCTTGCTGACCATCAGTAGATAATACAGATTAACTGAGAAATATTCTAGAGGAGTAAAAGAATGTTTTATTGATTATGTTTTATTCTGAATAAAACATTATGTTTTCCTATAAAAAGTGAATCCTTGTATATGTAGGAAATTGTCTAGCCGTATTGTTCCTTCCTTCTCTTCTCATGGATTATACCTAAATACAGATGTTCCGTACTAATATGGTTGATGGTGTCTGCATTACATTTTAATTGTATGTTAAGTACAGCAGATTTCCAGATGTTTTTCTCTTTTGTTAGTTTTTTAAATAAAAACTGTAGGTAAGTAGCTCACTTGTACCAAAGCAGTATCTCTGGCTTCAGGAATGAATTAAGTAGAATCATATTAATTGACTTTTTGATAGGTCAAATGTGAGCAATTATTGTCAATTTCATATGGCTTCACAATAATATATTGAGTTAATGTGGCGATGAGCAATACTGGGATATGGCAGCTTCCTTTAGAAATACAACAGTCTTATTAGTTTGTGCACTAAAGGGTCAATGATCTTCATCCACATTCATACATTCTGAATGAAAAAGAAATTCTGATGTACTATATACTATAGTGTAGAGCTATTACCAGGCAACTTCATCTTTCTAATTGGAGTGAGCTTCCATGCACTACATGATCTTTAGGTCTCTTTCAGTCCCATGCTATGAATTTTTGCAGTTTTCACTTCTGCTGATAGTTTGCTCAGGGTTAGGACACCGATGTTGATAAGAGCTGAGGATACTCTGTAACGTGCCTCACATGGTAAATAGTATGACATAAAAGCCCAAGAAGACCAAGGCAATGGAAGTAAGCCCCTGATCTAGGCTATGAATGTTTTATTCGTGGAGGTCACAACTTTCAAAGTTTGATTATTTCTTAGGTCTTCATGGAAGTTCTGGGAAGTTAACTGGATCTACTTCTAGTCTAAATAAGCTCAGTGTCCAGAGTTCAGGGAATCGCAGATCTCAGTCATCTTCCTTGTTGGATATGGGAAACATGTCTGCGTCAGATCTCGATGTTGCTGACAGAACCAAATTCGATAAGGTGTAGTATATAATAACAAGTAAATACTTAAACATTAGTATTCGTTTTATTTTTAATAGCTCTTTGTTATTTAAATGTTTTCAAAGATTTGGACTCCATTGGTCTCTTAACCATGAATTTTGTGACTCTGAATCCAAAAAGGAATATTAGTAAAATTGCAACTAAAATGTGAATCGTTGTTGTTGTTAAGTGCCACTGAATCTGTTCCAACTCATAACGACCCTGTATAGCGTTTCCAGGGAGCAGTTGCTGGATATGAACCACCAACTTTGCAGAGAGCAGTTCAGTGCTTATCCTACAGTGCCACACTAAGACTCCAAAAATATGAAATGTTCATTAAAGTTTATTTGTTGAAATCACAAAATGTTAGCATCTAGAATCACTTCTCTGAGCAGCTACAAAGAGGAAATAACAGCTTTTGTGAAGCTAACTCTTCTTTGCATTGCATCAAGTGTAAAAGTTGTATCTTTTTCCTCTTTCCAGATTTTAAAGTGAGGAACAGTGCATTTTATGAGCCTGTTTGTAGCCTTGTTCTGCCTAGTTAATACTGCATTTCCTAGTCATCTGGTCAGTCCTTTGGAAGACTTTACCTTTGGAATTCTGTTGAGATTGAAAAGTGAATTGAATGTGGAATGTTGTTTCTTGGCATTCAGTGTAATTCTTTCACTGTCGCATCATTTTGGTTTTCTTTAGATATTTGAACAAGTACTGAGTGAACTGGAACCCCTGTGTCTAGCAGAACAGGACTTCATAAGTAAATTTTTCAAACTGCAGCAACATCCAAGTATGCCTGGAACAATGGTATGATTCATATTTATTTTGGCCAGTATTACAATTAATGCATAGTCACAATTTCGCTCTCAGAACTGAAAAGGAAACATTTACAGAACAGATATTTTTAAAGGATTTTTGTCATACTACAAGGTAACAGAAACCATAATAGTTGGAGTTTGGGGATCTGATTTAATATTCCAGATGTCTTAAGCCTAAGCTCTAATTAAATAAGTTAGAGGGCGGGGATATTTAAAAAACTAGTAGTTTTCTTGTTTCATAATTAACTCATGTAAGTAGCTGACCATGTAGCTATAAACATGTTTGCATCTCTTGTGACTTGATGCTGATGGTTCTTTGCATGTGTCTTTTAAAGAGTTATTTAAAAATTATTTACATAGCAGTTTTCAGACCTTAGTACTTCCCCTTATAATTAGTAGTTGCATTATATAGTAGTTACATTTTTTTTTAATATGCGATTTGTGTACACCATGATCTAAGAAAAAGCATTTTTTGTTTGCTTTTTGGGGTTTTTTACTAACTAGTTTTGGGACTTTCAGGAGCTCTGGTAGTGTAGTGGTTACGAGTTGGGCTGCTAACCTCATGGTCAGTGGTTTGGGAGAAAGATGAGGCTTTCTGCTCCCATAAAGGTTTACAGCCTTGGAAACCCTGTTCAGGGTCGCTATGAGTCGGAACCGACTCCATGGCATATAACCACCACCACCAGTTACAGGACTTTTGGCTGATTATTAAATTCCAAGTTTTCTCATCTGTCAAATGAACAGAATAATGCCTGTTCCTCATACCTCCTGTGTGTGAGAGATTTGCCAGAATATTTTGAAAAACTTGAAAGCATAATGCAAATACAGTGAGATCATATCAAAAAATTATGCCTTAGGAAACATTTAAAAAGTGATAACGTGAATGAGAAATGAACTGATATCACAGATAGTTGGACTTTGTTCTTCGTTGTTGTTGCTATTGTTGTTAAACCAGCTTACTTACTGGCCTCTGTAAGAATTTTACAGGGCATTTTTCGTTTTTAAATGCTGAAGTTCTACAGATGAGAATAATTTCTTTCATTCTTTCCTGAAAGTTGTTACTAGACTTTTTCCTCTATTTTGTTGAGCTGCTCTCCCCTTCCTACCCACCTGAGCTTCCTTCAGCTGTGTGTGTCTGATTCTCTCCCTTCCTGCCCCGCACATGCACACACACAATCCTCTCACTCCCTGGTAACTCCTGGATAACATGTAAGAATAAAACATCTCATGACTATTCCTAAAGAGCATACTTTATTCTATAGCTTTATCAGTATTACTACCTTTAAAAACCATTATTTTTTATAATGTATTTTCTCCTAGGAATTTTAAGACTGAACAGGCTTTTGCTTTATACGCTAGTCAAATTGTTGGTCTTTATCATGTAAAGTACCTGAATAATTTTTGCAGACTGAATCAGAAGACCTGGACGGAGGAACGTTTTCACGGCAACATAATTCTGGCACGCCACTGCCTGTTTCATCTGAGTATGTCTTGATTTGGGGGGGGTGGGGCAATATTTGAACTGCACACTGGGGGGGTCTGGATGACTTTCTAACCTGACAGCCCACGGAACACCAACATGCACTTTCACTGTCTTATTTGATGTTTTACTAGAGTAGATAAAATTAGTCTAGTTGTATACCTCTTGACATTTCTTTGCTTCACTGTTGTTGTCAGTGATAACGTGAATGAGAAATTAACTGATATCACAAATAGTTGGACTTTGTTCTTAGTTGTTGTTGCTATTGTTTGCTTCACTAAACATACAAAAAATGCAGTCACTCTGATGTTTGCTGGTAGGAAGTAGCCTTTGAATTACAGTGTATTTCTCAGAAATCAAAAAACATAAATGAGGACCCAGCTTGACATTTACATCAAGGTATTGTGAGTGATCACACTTAATTTCAAAAAAATTTTATATTGAAAAATAGTTGTTGAGTTCTTCATATATAAAAGTTTTTAGTTTGAAATCTAAAACATAAGCCATTTGTGTATACCAAGCAGATTAAAGTTACAGATGAATGCACCTGAAACTTGTAATAACTTTCTCTTTCTTATGATTCCTCAACAGGAAAGATATGATCCGCCAGATGATGATTAAAATATTTCGCTGCATTGAGCCAGAACTAAACAACTTAATTGCACTAGGAGACAAAATTGATAGCTTTAACTCCCTTTACATGCTAGTCAAAATGAGTCATCATGTGTGGACTGCACAGAACGTGGACCCTGCCTCTTTTCTAAGTACTACATTGGGAAATGTTTTGGTGACTATCAAAAGGAATTTTGACAAATGCATTGTAAGTTTTTAAAAATAGATTAGAATTCTAGTTATTTGTTTTAAAAATAGGTAAAAGTACTTCAGAGATTTTAGTTGTGTATTGGAAGATCTGATGATGTTCATGCTCCAAAACTTTGAAGCAGGATGTTGCCTACAACATACTTGAGCAGAGCTAGTTTCCCTTCTACATTGTGAATCTTGGCAAATTGTGGAGTAGGTGCTTAGAGATCTAGTAGGTAATTCACTGACACCTTAGTTTTTATTGATCTCATGAAAAACCTTAGTTTTTATTGATCTCATAATCTCATGAAACTATCACTTGGATTTTTTTGTTTTTATTAGTATATTCCATTTTATTAGTATATTTAATTTTATTAAAAATAAAAATTTTAAGTGGATTATTTTGATTGTATACATATTAATTATTTAATCATTTATTTCACCTGCTTATTTAAATAGTAACTTTAATAATAGTATTATTAAATTACCCTTATAAGAATAAGTTATTCTTATAAAAACTTCCAAGAACCATCCGATTGTGTGGATCATGATAATCATGGGCAACATTGAGAAGTATGAGTATTCCTGAACACTTAATTGTGCTCAAAAAGAATCTGTACACAGACCAAGAGGCAGTTGTTCAAACAGAACATGGGAATACTGAATGGTTTAAAATTAAGAAAGGTTGTATTCTTTCACCATACTTATTCAACCTGTATACTGAGCAAATAATCCAAGAAGCTGGGATATATGAAGAAAACCGTGGCATCAGGATTGGAGGAAGACTCACTAACAACCTGTGATATGCAGATGATACAACCTTGCTTGCTGAAAGTGAAGAGGATGTAAAATATTTACTGATGGAGATCAAAGAGCACAGCCTTTGGTATGGATTGCATCTCAATGTCAAGAAAACAAAAATCCTTATCACTGGACCAATAAACAGCATTCTTATCAATGGAGAAAAGATTGAAGTTGTCAAGGACTTCATTCTTCTTGGATCAACTATCAACAATCATGGAAGCAGCAGTCAAGAAATCAAATGACGTATTGCATTAGGCAAATTTGTTGCACAAGACCTTTTTAAAGTGTTAAAAGAGCAAAGATGTCAGCTTGAGGACTAAGGTGCGCCTGACCCAAGTCTTGGTAATTTCAGTAATCTTATATGCATATGAAAGCTGGACAGTGACTAAGGAAGACCGTAGAAGAATTGATGCATTTGAGTATGGTGTTGGAGGAGAGTATTGAAAGTGCTATGGACTGCCAAAAGAACCAACAGATCTGTGTTGGAAGAAGTGCAGCCAGAGTGTTCCTTGGAGGCCAGGATGGCAAACTTCGTCTCTCATACATCGGACATACTGTCAGGAGGGACCATTCACTGGAGAAGGATATTATGTTTGGTAAGGTGGAGGGTCAGAGAAAAAGAGGAAGACCCCAGCACGATGGAGTAGCAATGTGGCAGCATCGATGGGCTCAAGCATGGCAACAATTGTGAGGTTAGCCCAGGACCAGGCAGTGTTTCGTTCTGTTGTGCATAGGGTCGCTATGAGTCAGTACCGACTTGAATGGCACCTAACAACAACAACACTAGAAAAAAAAGTTATCATGTTAGGTAAATGTAGACATAAGCTTATTATTGCTTGGCCCAGAATAATGGCTAATGACTGATAGCTGATAATGATGGTTTCAGCTCACACAAACAACAGTTGATACAGGACTGGACAGTACTGGGATCTGTTGTATGTATGCTATGAGTCACAGCTGCCTTGCCAGCACCTAACAACAACAGCAATGATGGTAGTGGTGGTGACAATAGTAGTAATTAATAGTTCATTAAAGATTGTTAATGTTAATTAAATAGCATTAACCTAGGAAAAGGTATCATTTCACGTTTTCTCCTAAATGGCACATATTTCTAAAGGACTTACCTCTAGCCACTCAAGACAAAGATGGACCCTTCTGCTACCTGGCTTCCTCTTTGCCTCTTACCTTTTAACCTAATCTTCTCACAGTATGTAGTTGATTGCTCTGTAAAAGTTAGTTTTGGGGACAAAGCAGGGCCTGGAGCCTAAAACAGTTCAAAGGTTAATGGGTCTGTGTAGTGAGCAAAAAGCATGAATGTCACATGGCTGCCAAAAATGGAACAGATAGAGTCTGAGTTCGCCAATTTCATCTGCTGCCCAAGCTCAAGATATATGGTGTTCTCCATATATAAGAAAGCTAGTCAAGCCTGAACTAAAGACAAAATTAGGAACTAACTTACACATCAAGTACTGTCATTCTGGACCTTGCAGTCTAGTACATGTCTTAACTGTGTTTAGTGTGCTTTTCAAGATTCCTCACTTTGTGACTTATTAATCCTTTGAGATTAATATATGATTTTGTTATTGTTGTTGTTGCTAGGTGCCCTGGGGGGTAATGTCTAAGTTGTAGTCTTAAGTAATCTTAACTATGCCTCCATGTCCTTCTGGATAATAGCAATATGAGTGGACTTCCAGCTGAAAATAAGAGACCTTTGACTTGATGTTTCTGTCGTAACTGATTTCATTCATGACTGTTTGCTTATATGAATGCACTCCTCCTACCCTACCAGTCACAAAGCCAGAAATGGCAACTATCTTTTAGAATATCTCCTGTTCATGTCCAATTATATGCAAACTGTAGTCTGTATCCCCTGCATTTAAATGTCACCCAGAATTCTAGACCCCCTGTGAAGTACACAAAACCACAGTGGATTCATAATTGAGTGGACCTTTTTGAACTAATGTCTAAATCCTGTGTATGTCAGCGTTCCTTTTGTATCTTGCCACCTGTATGCACACGCACTTTCATGCTGAGCTATTAAGAATGAGTAATTAAGAAATGGAGTCCCGATGTGGCACTGTGTGTTAATGTGCTGGACTGCAAAGTTGGTTTGAACCATACGATCGGCAGTTCAAGTTCACCAGTTTCTCCTCGGAAACCCTACGGGATGGCTATGGGTCGGAACTGACTTGAGGTCACTTAACATCGACAACAATTAAAAAATATAGAAAACTATTTAGTGCAAATGCATTATAGAAATAATGATCCTCTGTGTCTTCATACTCTGCCCCCGCCCAATAAAAAGTTTATAATAACAGAACTTGTCTATGCAAACAGAAATTGTAGAGTGATGAGAATAGGAAATGTCATTGTTTCTCAAACTTCTCCACATTGACACCATCTAGAAATAAACTGGCAAGATCCAGTGTGTTCACTGGTCAGCTCTGACCCAAAATGGCCACGCACCATATGCTTACCTTCCCATAAGTGATAGAAATGTTTTATAGTTGTTTTTTCTCCAAGCAAATACTTGAGGTTCACAAGCCTTAAATATATTTTGTTTTAAATAGTTTGGGCTTTTCTTTGACTTTTTTATTCTTAAATGAAACATAATAATTCTATATTTTTCAATCTATAAAAGTAGCTTTTTTTTTTTTTTTCAATTATCCCTGTAGTGATTCATCTTCAATGAGTTGTTATTAAATGCCACTGAGTCAGATCCAACTGTAGCAAGTCACCCTTTATAGGGTTTCCAAGTAGAGTGGCTGGTGGTTTTGAACCACCAACCTTGATGTTAGCAGTCCAGTTCTTATCCTACATTGTCTCATTAAGCTAGTAAGTATCCAAACTGTTCTAGGTTCTGAATTATGTTCTGCCTCAATGATATATATATTTGATTATAATTATAATGTAGTTTCTAAGTTGTTTAGGTATCTCTCTCCCTTGTTTTCTGCCTAACTTTAGAGTAACCAAATAAGGCAAATGGAAGAAGTGAAAATCTCAAAGAAGAGTAAAGTAGGAATTCTTCCATTTGTGGCGGAATTTGAAGAATTTGCTGGACTCGCAGAATCAATCTTTAAAAATGCCGAGCGCCGTGGAGATCTAGATAAAGCATACACCAAACTTATCAGAGGAGTATTTGTTAATGGTAAGCTTTCATTCTTAGGAATTTTTTTGGTTTGTTGTTTTCATTATATCTGGTCACTTGGAAATTGAGAGATATACATGTTCCTTAATTCCATATTCTACTGTCTTTGTTTTTTAAGATTTGCTGAAATAAAAGATTTCTTAACTTTGAAAAAGCAGAAGTAAATACAGTCTTTTCATCGTCCTAAAGAACCACTTTTCTGTTAAGTCTTGTCTGGTTGTATCCCTGTGTAAAGTTGAAAGTCATTTTATAAACAAAAAATTGACCTCCCAGATGACATGTACCTTCAACAAGAGTCTCCTGGAAATGCTGGGCAGTGGTGTCTGGGTAACCTTTCAGCACATGTGTCCAGGTTTTGGCCCTCAGTGTTCTTACCTGTTACAGGAGGGAGTAAAATAGATCACTTTTCTAGGCTTCTTTAGACTTTATTTCAGTTTTCAAGTACTGTCATTCACTCTCTTACTGTGTCAGATCCCACAGTGAAGTTACAGAAACAGTTTGGACGTGTCACTTAATTTGAAATAAATTATCTGATAGGATGTACTCTATAATCTTAAAAGCTAAAACATGGAGAGCATGTGGAATTGTCTCATACTTTCAGTAGAAGTAAGTATATGGAAAAGCTTGATAAATTTCATTATCAAATGCCTGTATGCTTGTTTTTATTCAAAATAGCTTTACTTTATCTGATTGTACGGTAATATTTGTTTGTTACACCCCTCCCCAAAAATTCAGAAAAATCAAGAAAAAATGTAAGATTACCTATACAAGAGAATTGATGAAATACAAATTGAAATCTTTCAACAAACTGATGTAGCACTGGAGGCACTTACTCATCTATGCCAAAGAATTTGGAAGACAGCCGCTGGCCAACTGATTGGAAGAAATCCATATTTGTGCCCATTCCAAACAGAGGTGACCCAACAAAATGCAGAAATCATAGAACAATGTCATTATTATCACACACAAGTAAAATTTCGCTGCAGCATTACATATACAGGGAACTGCCAGAGGCTCAAGCTGGATTCAGACAAGAACGTTAAACAAGGCCTGTCGTTATTGATGTAAGATGGATCTTGGCTTAAAGCAGAGAATACCGCAAGATGTTTACCTATGCTTTATTGACTTTGCAAAGCCTTTCAACTATGTAGATCATGATAAGCTATGGATAACATTGAGAAGAATGGGTATTTAGAACATTCAGTTGTGCTCATGAAGAACATGTACATAAGACCACGAGACAGTTGTCAAACAGAACAAGCAGATACTTAATGGTTTGAAATCAAGAAAGGTATGTGTCAGGACTATTATTTCACCATATTTATTCATTCTGTATGCTGAGCAAATAATTTGAGAAAACTAGAGTATAAGAAGAGGAACATGCCATCAGAATTGGGGGAAGGCTCATTAACAATCTGCAATATGAAAGTGATGCAACCTTGCCCACTGAAAGTGAAGAGGACTTAAAATACTGATGAAGATCAAAGACCACAGCCTTCGATATGGATTGTACCTCAATGTAAAAAAAAATATATATATATATATATATATTCACCATTGGGCCAATAAATGGCATCATGATAAAAGGAGAAAAGACCAGTTGTCAAAAACTTCCATTGTGCCTAAATCCACTAACAACACTCATGGAAGCAGCTGCCAAAAAATCAAATGACGTATTGCATTGCACAGATTTGCTGCATGAGACCCCTTTAAAGTGTTGAAGAGCAAAAATACCAGTTTGAGAATTAAGGTGCGCCTGACCCAAACCATGGTATTTTCAGTAGCCTCATATGCATGTGAAAGTTGTACATAGAATTGATGCATTTCAGTTATGGTGTTGGAGGAGAATGTTGAAAGTACCATGGCTGCCAGAAGAACAAACAGATCTTTGTTGGAAGAAGTACAGCCAGAGTGCTCCTTGGAAGCCAGGATGGCAAGACTTTGTCTCTCATATTTAGGACATGTAAACAAGAGAGACCAGTCCCTGGAAAAGAACATCATGCTTGGTAAAGTGGAAGGTCAGCAAAAAAGAGGAAGACCATCAGTGGAGATGGATTGATGGATTGACAAAGTGACATCAACAAGTGTAACAATAATTGTGAGGGTGGTACAGGACTGGACAGTGCTTCATTCTGTCCTGAATAGGATGGCTATGAGTCCAAACCATCTTGAATGGCACCTAGCAACAACACCAACGTGCAAGGGGGAGTTCAAAATTTCATGGGGAAATGGAATTGAAACACACTGGAATTTTTCCACAAACTTCTTAAATTCCCCTCATAATCTCATTGTACAGAGATAACATTTAATTTTTATCTTTCCAGACTTTTCAATGCATATCTGTCTCCCTTCTGCTCTGTTAAGTAGATGGATAGATACCCACTATCAGTGTATCTATTATTAGGCGCCATCGAGTTGGTTAAGACCCATAGCAATCCTAATCTTAAATATAAAACTTTTATCATGCCTTATACACCTTAGACACAGTGGCACCTGCTAGACTCTATAACCCTGCTCTTCGTTGTCAATAAGCACTGGTAACCATAATTTTTATTGATTGCAGAGTATTCCATTTATTTTTTAAATACCAAATCTATTGCTAACATACATTTCATTTGTTTCTAGTTTCCTCCCAATAATTTCCTTGAGGGAAATTATTAGAAATGGGATTACTGAATTAAAGGGTTTATGTCTTTCTCAAGGCTTTTGCCAGATTGTCATTCAGAAAGGTGATACTGGTTTCTTGCCAAGAGTGCTCACTAAAAGTTGCCGTCCCACAAGTACCGATGCTGGATAGATAGGTATTATCAATGTTTTTATTCTGGGTCATCTTAATATGCTGTAAAGTATGTTGTTATTTTGAAATATTCATATTTGTATTTCACAGATTACTAGAGTACTTGAACATTTGGGGCGGGGGCTAGTTGTATTTCATATATTACTAATTACCATTCATTTGCCCATTTTTCTCTATATGTTTATATTTTTTTCCAAAAGTGCTTCTTTTATAAAAAGGTTGTTGATCCTTTATTGTTAGTGTTGTTGTTGTTGTTAAAGTACCATGGAGCTGGTCTATATGTAGGGTTTCTAAAGCTTTAAATCTTTTTACTGGATCAGAAAGCCTCATCTTTCTCCAATTGGAACGGCTAGTGGGCTCAAACCGCTGACCGTGTAGTTTGCAGTCCAATGCTTATCTCTTGAGCTACCACACTCCCTACTAGTTTTATACAAAAAAATAGTTTTTCTTATTTGCTTTTCATTTTGTTTATTGTGCATTTTTCTATAAGAGTTTTCGAGTTTTATGTCAGATTTACCCATTTTTTCAAGTTTTGGGCCATGTTTAGAAAGGCCACACTGCCATAAAATAATTTAATTATCTATAATTTCTTTAGTGTTTATGATTTTATTCACTTATTTTCTAAACATGGGTTATATGAAACTGGGTTCTATGAAGAAAAACGTGGCATCAGGATTGGAGGTAGACTCATTAACAACCTGCGATATGCAGATGATACAACCTTGATCGCTGAAAGTGAAGAGGACTTTAAATATTTACTTATGAAGATTAAAGAGCACAGCCTTCGGTATGGATTGCATCTCAATGTCAAGAAAACAAAAATCCTCACCACTGGACCAATAAACAACATTCTTATCAACGGAGAAAAGATTGAAGTTGTCAAGGACTTCATTCTTCTTGGAATATTGAAAGTGCCATGGGTAATATATCCGTTTTAGAAGAAGTGCAGCCAGAGTGCTCCTTGGAGGCCAAGATGGCCAAACTTCGTCTCTCATACTTTGAACATATTGTTGGGAGGGACCAATCTCTGGAGAAGGATGTCATGTTTGGTAAGGTGGAGGGTCAGAGAAAAAGAGGAAAACCCCCAACGAGATGGATTGGCCAAGTGGCAGCATCGATGGACTCAAGCGTGGCAACAGTAGATGTTTCGTTCTGATGTGCATAAGGTCACTATGAGTCTGTACAAAATCGATGGCACTTAACAACAATAACAACAAACAAATTGGTTTGGAGTTCCTGGGTGGTACAAATGTGCTTAGAGCTGCTTGTAGAAAACTTGGAGGTTTGAGTCCACCTTGAAGATAACAAAAAATTCATTTATTGAAAACCTTGTGGAACACAGGGCTATTCTGATACACACAAGATTGTCATGAGTCAAATTGGACTCCACAGCAACTGGATTTTTGTTGTCATTGTTTATTACATTTTCAATGCATAAGCAACTTAGAATTTGATTTACTAAAAGATGTAAAATAAGAACCTGAATTTAGTGTATATTCAAAAGGGCCAGCTGGTTGTCCTAATACATTTGGGTAATACACCATTTCCCCCACTGATTTGAAATGCCACCTTTATCACGTATTAAATTCCTATGTATACATGAGAATCTTAGAGTGATTCCTTGATTAGAATTCTTCTAATCAAGGAATGTCCAAAAATGTGCTTAGTTCTTAAGCGTACGCATTTTTAAAAACCGATGCTATCCAACCCCTAACAAGATAGATGGACACCGTAGCATCACCAATGTGCTCAAACAGAACTAACTGTGAGACTGACGTGGACGGGGCAACATTTCATTCTGGTGTGCGTCAAGTCGCTATGAATTGGAGCCCACTCACTAGCACGTGGAGTCCTGGTGTGGCACTGGAGGGTAAAGCACTGAACCACAAGGTCAGTCTGAATCAAAAGGTCAGCGGTTCAAACTCACCATCCACTCCTCAGACACCTTGATAGAGTCTCTATGAGCCGGAACCAGTGTGACAGCAGTTAACAACAGAAACAACCATAGTACCTAACAAGAACAACATTTTATAGCTAAATGTGGGCAAACTCGTAGACAGAGACGTTTTTATATATTTTTGTTTTTGTTTATAGTGGAGAAAGTAGCAAATGAAAGCCAGAAGACCCCTCGGGATGTCGTTATGATGGAGAACTTTCACCACATTTTTGCAACTCTCTCCCGTTTAAAAATCTCATGTCTGGACGCTGAAAAAAAAGAAGCCAAACAAAAATACACAGATCACCTTCAGTCTTACGTCATTTACTCTTTAGGACAGCCACTTGAAAAACTAAATGTAAGTATATCTTCCATCTGTTTTACTGGATTCAGAATACATTTCCTTACACAGTACAAGCATTTATCTTAAACTGGCTCTTGTATTGGATTAGCGGCATTCAGGAAAAGGGTCAGTTATTGCTAGTGGACCAGACACTGCTACATTCTTTATATAGATTTCTTTTCATTCTTATAAACAATGGTGTGTGTGTGAAAAGATAATAGGATTCCCATCTTACAGATGAAGAGACAGAAGGTAACTGAACTTGTTGGAAGTTATACAAGCCAAGAAGTGACAAAGCTGGGGCGTGGTTTGTAGGTTTTCATTATATCATGTCCTTCCCCAGTGCTTACATCTGGAGTGGTCAGCCCTAGTTCAGTAAACTCTCAAGGCCATCAAGTCGTTTCCGACTCATAGCAACTCTGTAGGGTTTCAGAGGCTGTACATCGTTACAGAGGGTTCGGATAAGGATAAGAGGATACTAAAAATTGGTATATATTCATTACTTTTTCCTTTTTCTTTTTTATGACTTAAGTCATTTCCTAGAGCAAGTCAGATCATTAAAATTAAGAAATGGTGATCTTACAGACGATAGAATGAATGTAAAGCTAATGTTCTCCCATGTAAACTATCACATAATTCATAATAAGACATTTTTGAAAAAAGAAATGGTGATCTTAGAGAACTTAACAACATAGTAAAATCAAAAAAGGGATTTTTCTAACTTTGTACAAAATATGGTTAATCGCTTTTTAGAGGTTTATAACTTGAAATTAGAGTCAAATAAAGAATATGTATCTATGATCAACATTTTGAAGAAGTAATCAAAAGACATCTATTCAAATGCAGAACCAGTTCCTTAATATAAAACTGAAGAATGAATAGATCCTTTAAGATAGTAAATAATTCTGTCTCAAACCTAAAGTCTACATGGCACTTAACTGCAACATTGGAGTATCCCTCCCCCCTTTTTTTAAAAGATAAATCAACAGTGTGGAAGATGATAGTATATTTTAAAAATTGATTTTCATAGCCAATAAAGTATTCCACAAAACAGTCCTCATTTCTGATTTTGTTTTGTTTTGTTTTATGTACGAAGAGTTGATGTTGTTCCTTTTGTTGGGTAGATGCCTTGGATAATCCATTCAAGGAAGATCACTTTGTCCAACTGGATGAAACCCGTTCCTTCACATACTGCCGGCAACACTGGTGGCTCATCAGGCCATATTTCCAGATCAGAGCCTGCCAGTTTAAGCAAATGTAGCAAGAGCAGGAACCTAGCCAGATTTCATGGAGTAGAACTGCTGGTGATCCATCTAGAAGCATTTGCTTTTAAATTGAATTTAACAAAAGCATTGCTGGTTCCTTTACTACCTAACATTCCTATAGAAAGTTTGGTCAGTGCAATAAGACATGAAACATAAACAAGAGCTCCAGAAAGAAGAGTCAAGATTGTCATTACTGTTGATGACATGTTCAAATTATTTGTCTCCAGTAAAGTGGCAGGATTCTAAATAAACATGCGTAAACTACTTTCTTTCCTGTATGTCAGCAGTAGCCAATTAGAAGCTCATGTAGAAACAAATTATAAGAGCAGCAGGAAATTTAATGAAGTGTGACACTGTGGGATAAAGCTCTGGACCACAAAGTCGGTTTGAACCACAACGTCAGCAGTTCAAACTCACCAGCCGTTCCTTAGAAACCCTGTACAGTGGCACTGTGAGTCGGAACCAACTTGATAGCACTTAACAACAAGAACGTCTTAGATAAAAGTAATAAGGAATTGGGCTTAGTGCTATTAAATTGTCTTGTACAGTATGCATGTGTAAGCGTGCCAATCCATAAGGCTGTTTAATCTTTAACTAGATCCCAATATACATGTAAGGATTTTATACAGGATGAAGGAACTGTCACATATTAGTAGAAAATGGAATGATTACACAGTAAGTGGTTTTAAGGGAAATTACTTGGGGTGTGAGTAGCAAGTAAAAACTAAAAGGACTTATATGTTCAAAATAAAAAATGGTACAAAGCTAGAATAAAATGAGTTAATAACTCATCTCCAAAATCCTTTGTTATTGGTTGCTGTCACACTGGTGTTGACTAGTGAGTGCTGCATTCATGCAAAATAAAATTCACTTCACCCGAATGTATTCAAGGCAGTGACGGCTCAGAAGCACATTGCCAGACCTTGCTTTCGAAGTGCCTCTGGTCGCATTGCACTGCCAGCCTTTCCATCCCTGAGCACCCAGTGCTTAATGATTGTAACACTCAGGACCCCACAAGGGACAGCACTCTGCAGTTCTTAAAAGCAGTAGAATTATGAAGATCCCTTGAATATCTGTGTGACAATACAACTATCAGTGTATTTAGTATAAAAGATCTCTTTTAAAATCAGTAAGAAAACACTAAGATCCCAGTGTGTAAATGGGCAAGGGTGCTGAATCACTACTAAATGTATGAAAACATGTTAACGTCACTTATAGAAAAGAATTATGAAATGAAAGAAACTTTGTTCACTCGTCAAAATGGCAGGGAGTGTTTGGTGATGCTGCTCTGGAAAGCTGGTGTTCCTGTATACCGTTGATAGAAATATAAGGCAGTTGAGCTTTCCTGGGGAGCAATGTGTATGTATGAGGAATTTTCAGAATATTCAAAGTTATACTCCTCAGCTGAATCATTTTAGTCAGAAATGTTGCTAAAAAGTAATCTCATTTGAGGAGACCTGTGTTTATCTAGTCAAACCACATGGTTCTCTTTGGTGAAATGCTTAGTGCAATCTATTTTTATAGCCTGTGTGATGGTACTTCTAACCACTTCACTTAATAGACTGTTTCATAATCTATGTGATTTAAACATTTGGATATTGCTTCTCTTACAGTCAGCCTAGCATTTTCTTTGCTTAATTTATCTGATATCATCCACTTTTACTCTTTCATCATATTATTCTAAAGAAATAAGACTGACAGACTCTAATGAATGCTTCTTGTTATATATCTTTAATTTGGGGCATTAAAATGATTAGGAAATTATAAAGCCATGCAATCTTTTTTTTTTTTTTAAGTAACCCAAAGATTATTTATGATATTGTGATATTACTATGATAACTATATTTACAATGGGCTTCTGTTGTGGCACTGTAGGATCAGCACTGGACTGTGAACCACAAAGTCCTTGGAAACCTTATACATTATCTCTATGAGTCAGAATCTATTCCACGGCACTTACAACAACAATAACATTTATAATAAATGAAAAAATTTATAAACGTATTAAAATCCAGTACTGTACTCACTGGATGGAATATTTTACAACAATTAAAATGTATACTTAGTGCTGCAATGAGTTTCAATGACTGGTAAGACTGAGGAATTTGCACTGACCGCCTAAGACAGGCAGCGTCCCTTAAACAAACAATAAATAAGGAGGATTCGGATGCAGACCGTGCAGACCCGGTCAGGAGGCCAAGCCCCTGTGGGCCCAAGCGTTGTTGACCGTCCAAACCATAGGCTCTGAGGATCAGACATTAGCTACCTAGTAGACATAGCAAACTGTCCCTCATCTGATTATTCAGTAATGCTTGTTAGTAATCTCATACATGAGCCCTGGATATCCACAGACAAATGTAAAAACCTTCCCTAAAAGCCGAGACTGTAAATTCCAAAAAGGCAAGTTCCCCCCCCCCAAACAAAAAAAAAAAGCTAAAGAGGATAGAGAGAAACACTGTTAACTGATGATATATGGAGGGGATAATAATCAATGTAATGAAACAAGGTATATGATTTGTTGAATGCAAAACTGATGATATGCCCTGTAAACTTTCAACTCAATCCAAAATAAAAACATTTAATTAAAATAAATAAATAAATTGTATACTTAGGTTAAAAAGCGTATAATATTAAATGGAAAAACACAGGGTACAAAATTATAATCTCATCTAGGTATTCATATGTTGGAAGATGAGTTTAGAAGCCAAGTGGCTCCTCTTCCTCCCATGGAGCAGCTGGTGGACTCAGATCACCACCTTTTTGGTTAACAGCCCAATGCTTAAACCACTGTGCCACCAGGCTTCATTAACAAAGACAGAGAAACTCTAAAATGGTAACTAGCTATCTCTAAGTGGTGTAGTAATAAGCAGTTATTATTTTATTCTCTACTTTCATATACAAGGAGCTCTGATAGCAAAGTGGGTTATCAGTTGGGCTGCTTACCACAAGGTCAGTAGTTCAAATCTACCAGCACTCTGCAGGAGAAAGATGAACTTTCTGCTCACGTAAAGATTGACAGCCTCGGAAACCTTGTACGGGGTCACTATGTGTCAGAACCGACTCCGCAGCTCATAGCCACCAGCACCACTTTCATATATACATAGTCTGGTTTTTCTATGGTGAATATGTACTGTTTTATAACCTTTTCCTTTTTTGATGTAAGTGATCATAAGAGCAGTTTTTAACCATTATTTCTTTTCGTTTCCTTGAAGCATTTCTTTGAAGGTGTTGAAGCTCGTGTGGCACAAGGTATAAGAGAGGAAGAAGTGAGCTACCAACTTGCATTTAACAAGCAAGAGCTTCGTAAAGTCATTAAAGAGTACCCTGGAAAGGAGGTGAAGAAAGGGCTGGATAACCTCTACAAGAAGGTTGATAAACATCTGTGCGAAGAGGAGAACTTACTGCAGGTTTGCTTATTCTTTGCTGTTGCATGGAATAGTCCACAGCCATTAAAATTGACATTTTGGAAAAAACATGAAGAAAGAAATACTTACACAAGTTTCCATAGCTGTTCCTACTTGTATTTTTACTGTGTTGAGGTTTTTGGTGCTTGGTTCTCTTAGATATTTAGGAGGAATAAATGATGTGGGTGGTACTGAGTGTGGGCATTGCCATTAGAATGGGTTCCTAATCTGACTGCAGAAAGATGCGTGGCTTGGGCCCAGTTACTTAATGAGTTTGAGATTTAATTTCCTTATTTGACAGGTGAAAATCAGACACGTCTCAAACAGTAGGCACTACCATTTTATTACTGCCATTCTACAGATGAGGAAGCCAAAGCTCAGAGAGAACAAGTACTGAGAGCAAGGTCCCATTGCAAATGAGTGATGGAGATGAGTTTAAACCCTGAGTCAAAATAGCATTCTGTATCAAACATACTGAGGGGCCCAGAAATAAGGGAAAGTAATTCTGATTTCAGTATCATGAAAGGCTTTGTGAGGAATATTGCTTTTTTGTTAGCCTCAGAGAGGCTTTTCACTGTTCACTGCTCAAGAAAAGGGACTCCTGTGGTGCTGTAGGATCAGCCCTGGACTGCTGAACATAAGGTCTGCAGTTCAAACCCACCAACCACTCCTCAGAAACTCTGTTCAGGGTCACTGTGAGTCGGACCCGACAACATCAATTACCAACGGCAGCAACAAAGTAATTAAAGTAATACTCTAGGTGGAACAAGTTTGTTGTTATTGTTAGGGGCCATCGAGTAGATACCAACTCATAGTGACCTTGTGCACAGCAAAACGAAACACTGCCCGATCCTAGGCCAACTTCACTATCGTTGCCACATTTGAGCCCACTCATGGCTGCCTCTTGGCCAGTCCATCTCGCTGGTGGTATTCCTGTTTTTCTCTGACCTTCCACCCTACCAAACATGATATCCTTCTCCAGCGACTGGTCCCTCCTGACAATATGTCAAAAGTATGAGAGACGAAGTTTGGCCATCCTGGCCTCCAAGGAGCACTCTGGCTGCATTTCTTCTAACAAAAATGTGTTGGTTCTTTTGGCAGCCCATGGCACTTTCAGTATTCTCCAATATCCATAACTCAAAAGCATCAATTCTTCTACGGTCTTCCTTTTCACTGTACAGTTTTCTCATGCATATGAGGTTATTGAAAATACCATGTCTTGGGTCAGGCTCACCTTAAATCTTCAAGCTGACATCTTTGCTCTTCAACACTTTAAAAAGGTCCTGTGCAGCAGATTTGCCTAATGTAATACGTCATTTGATTTCTTGACTGCTGCTTCCATGAGTGTTGATAGTTGATCCAAGAAGAATGAAGTCCTTGACAACTTCAATCTTTTCTTCATTA